GGACTGGGGGAGCTGTGGTTTTCCCGAGTGGTTGAAGGCAGCCTTGTGAGCTCTGGCAGGCAGGACCAGAGGGCAGGGGGGAGTAGGAAACATTAAAGCAGCCCCAGACTGCTCAGAACACTCCGAGGATCACCAGGACCCCTGCCCCTTCTGGAATATTCTAAGCAACCAGAGAGGGCAGGTGCCTCTGGGAGGGGAGCTGTAGTGAGGACCCCGATTAGAACCATGGCTCTCTTCCTTGGCAGGTGACCTGCCAAGGGCACCAGGTGGCCTGTCTGGCAGGGCTGGAGAGCCCCTGGGCTGCCTGGAGGTCAGGCTGGACATCACAGGTAGAGGCAGCCATCCCAGCGGGCTGTGTGCCAGGTGAACAGCTGTTTCTCTTCCGTCATCTCGGGCTCAGCTAAGGCTAAGTTGCCTTCCCTGCCGATGTCTGCTCGAGTCCACGTGAGACCCTCCCCTCTGTCTCAAGTTAGCGAGTGGGGAGGGGCTCAGAGGGAGGAGCAGGGAGAGCTGGGGGTGGCAGGGGCAAGGTTGCATCTGATGGTATCAGCGTGGGCATCAATTCCTGAATGCTGGAGCTGGCTGCAATGATCTGGACTTATCCCAAAGATCTCTGCCCAGATGTGTTAAGTTTTTTCTTTGTTTTTTTTTTTTTAAAGACAGGGTTTCGCCATTTTGGCCAGGCTGGTCTTGAACTCCTGACCTCAGGTGATCTGCCTGCCTCGGCCTCCCAAAGTGCTGAGATTACAGGCATGAGATGTGTTAAGTTTTTACCCATTTGTGTGTCTCCAGAAAAATCCACGGGGTGCACCGAGGTCATTCAGCAGGCTGGGGGCACTTCCAGAGCAGGGAAGACTTGTCCAGGTTTTACTGATTGTTGTTGGTTGACAAGGGGTGTGACCCAATGGCTCTTGGCACAGAAATAGACTGTGAACTTTGGGGCCTCCAGGTGCCATCCAAGACACACAGAGGGGCATTCAGAGCAGCCCCGACCTCACCCCACCTCATTGGACATCGCCGTGGCCTTTCATGGTGGTCTTTGGTGTCTGAGGCCAGCTTCTCCGTGTGAGCTGGGAAAGTCATTCCGCCTCTCTGAGCTTTGGTGTTTTGTTTTTTTGTGTGTGGACTCACGCCTTCTCTTGGTTCTAGAGCTAGGAGTGGAATTGCCGGGTCATATGGTGAGTCTGTGTTTCCCTTTGGAAGAAACTGCCAGACCGTTTTCCAAGGTGGCGGCACCGTTTCCCGTTCCCACCAGCAGTGTGTGCAGGGCTTGGTTCCTCCCTCCTTCCTTCCAGGAGTTGCTGATGTCTGTCTTTTTGCCTAAGGTCATGGGGTGTGAAGTGGCAGGGCGCTGCAGAGTCAGTGTGCATTTCCCTAAAGACCACTGCAGTTAACATCCTCATGTGCTATATTAGCCCTATACCTCTATGTTCTTTGGTGAAATATCTATTTAAATCTGTTTGCTGATTTTTAGTTTTATTTATTTATTTTTGAGACAGACTCACTCTGTTGCCCAGGCTGGAGTGCAATGGTGCGATCTCAGCTCCCTGCACCCTCTGCCTCCCTGGTTCAAACAATTCTCCTGTCTCAGCCTCCCGAGTAGCAGGGATGATAGGCACGCACCACCACACCCTGCTAATTTTTGTATTTTTAGTAGAGACAGGGCCTTGCCATGTTGGTTAGGCTGGTTCCGAAATCCTGATCTCAAGTGATCCACCAGCCTCAGCCTCCCAAAGTGCTGGGATTACAGGTGCAAGCTGCCATGCCTGGCCTTCTTTTGCTGATTTTTTTTTTTTTTTTTTTTTTTTTTTGAGGTGGAGTTTTGCTCTTGTTACCCAGGCTGGAGTGCAATGGCGCGATCTCAGCTCACCGCAACCTCCGCCTCCTGGGTTCAGGCAATTCTCCTGCCTCAGCCTCCTGAGTAGCTGGGATGACAGGCACACGCCACCACACCCAGCTAATTTTTTTGTATTTTTAGTAGAGACGGGGTTTCACCATGTTGACCAGGATGGTTTTGATCTCTTGACCTCGTGATCCACCCGCCTCGGCCTCCCAAAGTGCTGGGATTACAGGTGTGAGCCACTGCGCCCGGCCCTCTTTTGCTGATTTTTAAACGAGATTATTTGCCATCTTCCTGGGTAGTAAGAGTTGTCGGTATGTTCTAGACCTGAGTCTTCCGTTGGATATGATTTGCACATCCTTCCTTCCAGGCTGTAACACCTTGTGTTTTCACTTTACTTACGGTATCTTTTTGAAGCCTAGAGGTTTTGTTGTTGTTGTTATTTAATTTTGATGATGTTCAGCTTACCCGTTTCTTCTTTTGTTGCTTGTATTTTTGGTTGTATCTAAAAATCTTTGCCTAACTCAGGGTCATGAATACACACCTAGATTTTCTTCTAAACTTTTACAGTTGTTGATGTTGCATTAAGGTCTATGATCCACTGTAAGTTAATTTTTGTAAGCAGGGTGAGATAACCATATGAAGTCCCATTTTTTTTTGCATGTGGCTATCCAATGCGCCAGCATCATTTGTTGAAAAACAAAAAATTATTTTCCCCCCATTACATTGCTGTGGCACCTTTGTCGAAAATCTGCCGTTGCATTTAAGGGCCCAGCTCTCCCTCTCCCTTTGTCTCTCTCTTGATCATCATGGTGCTTGGAAGCCTGGTTAAATGGTATTTTAACCCGTATTCTAAATGTGTGATCTGATTTACCAAGACGTGCTAGGACCTCCCACTAGAAGACTTAAGTCAAAGCCAGGTGCAGTGTGACCACCTGAGGTTGGTCAGAGGCGCTAGGGTTCGCCCAAGCAGCAGAGGGCCTGTCTCTGCCACTTGCCAGCTGTGTGATCTGGGTTAAGCATCTTCATCTCTGCCTGCCTCAGTTTCCCCATCTGTGAACTAGGGGTGGTAGGAGCTTCGTATCTCAAAGGATTACTGTAGAAGAGATAAACGAATATGCCAAGTGCTCAGAGGGGAGCCTGCCCAGTTCATGTTGGCTGTAATATAGCCGCAGTATGTTCTGACTTCTGCAACTACATTTGACTCCAATTGCTTAGCCTGGTTCCACATAGACTAAGATGAAAGAAGGGAACGGGCAGTGGAGGGGGATTCCACAGGGACTATGGCTGTCCCTTAGCTGTTCCTGCAGCTCACAGATCTGGCTGTTTCTGGCATCCGCCCCCTGTGGCAACAGACACAGTCCCGTATTCTTTTGGTATAAATGCCCCTCCTTTCCTAGGAAGGCCTGACAAAACGTGGGTCCTTTCCTGATGCCAAAGAGACCTGTAAGAGTCCTCCTCTGATCATTATGAAAGGAAAGAGCTGGGAATCACGAACAGAGAGCTAACACCAGCTTCTCCTCCTCTCTGGTTTCGACTGGATTCAAGTACCAGACATGCATACACATATACACACCAGCATGCCCATGGACACAAACACATTCACATGCATATACATACACCCCTGCACACACACATCCCTGCACACACACTCCTGCACACACATTCTTGCACACACATCCCTGCACACACATGCACACACACCCTGCACACACATGCATAAACACACACCCATATACCCCTGCACACACACTCATACATCCCTGCACACACACTCACACACCCCTGCACACACACATATCCCTACACACACACTCCTGCACATACATCCCTGCACACACATGCACACACACCTTGCACACACAAACCCCTGAACACACATGCATGAACACACCCCCATACACCCCTGCACACACACCCCTGCACACACACTTATACATCCCTGCACACACACTCACACATCCCTGCACACACATGCACACACACCCCTGTACACATCCCTGCACGCACACATCTCTGCACATGCATGCACACACACCCCTGCACACATGCACACACACCCCTGCACACACATGTACACACCCCGTACACATCCCTGCACACACACCCCTGCACACACACACTCACACATCCCTGTACACACATGCATGCACACACACTCCTGCACACATATCCACACATCCCTGCACACACGCACACACACCCTTGTACACACCCCTGCACACACACGCACACATCCCTGCACACACACCCCTGCACACACACTCACACATCCCTGCACCCACATCCCTGCACACACACCCCTGCACACATACCCACACATCCGTGCACACACCTGTACATACACCCCTGCACACACATGTACATACACCCCATACACATCCGTGCACACACACTCACACATCCCTGTACACACATGCATGCACACTCACACACCCCTGCACACACACATGCTTGCAAGCTCCTCCCTCCCCCGTACCTTCCTCCTTTCCTTTATAAGCAGTTCTCCCTCCAGAGGCCCAGACTTCCTCTTTTGCTTCCACTTGCTCTTGTCAATATTTGTTTTCAAGAGCTGCTCTTTGCGCCCCTCCAGCTTGACCTGAATCCTAACACTCGCCTCCTAGGGTGGGGTTCTGAGTCTCGGCACCATTGACATCTCTGGCCGGGTATTTGCTGTCCCGGGCGGCCCTCCTGTGCAGTGTGGGGTGTTTAGCAGCCTCCCTCGCCTCCCCCCAGCTGCAGGCCAGGAGCACCTCGTCCCTGCATTTGTGACCATGGGAAATGTCTCCAGACGTTGCCAGTGTCCCCTCGGAAGCAAAACCACACCCTGTTCAAAACAACTCCCCTCCAGGCTCTTGTCAAAAGTGTGTAGGACAGAAATTGGGAAGCTGAGAACGGGCCCTGATGGGCGCCCGCAGGAGAGCTGGGAGGGTGCATTTTGGAGTCTGTCCCCACAGTGAGCATCCCATGTGCTTGTCGTCAGGGCCTTGCTCACTCTCCTGGGCGCGCTCTGGAGAGCCGCACCTGTGCTCCCGTCCTTGTGGGCTTGCTGTGGAACAGTCGTGGCCTCTGTGGCCCCTCAGGCCCGGGGGCGCCCCTTGAATCCTCCACTCTTGGCTCCAAGCACCGTTCCTGGGAAGCCGTGTCTGCCGGGTTCGCAGACAGGAACAGAAACATGGACGGAACCACGTGGCTCAGCCTTTGTCCTGGTAACGGACCCCTGCTTTGGAGGCAAAATCACAGATTGCTGCCAGCCCGCGGAAAAGGTGATCTCAACCTGCAGAGGAGAGCGGATGCGAAACTGTGGAAGAGCCACCAGCTCCAGCGCCTGGCTGAGAAGTTGCGGAGAGAGTGGCAGGAGTCGCGGTACCTGCAAGTCAGGGACCTGGACAGGCTGCAGTCAGCACGTCTGTTAGGCTGGGGAGGAGGACGGGCCACAGAAAATAAGCCTGGCTGGGAGGGGCCCATCCAGCCAAGATCACCCAGGCCCCCGAGGGGCAAAGAGAAGCAGAAAACAGCCCTTAGCCAAAAGAGGAGCGGCAGGGAAGAGCTAGGCCAGCAACGACCCGGGCACACCAGGCCCCGGAAGATGCCAGCGAGCCCAGAGAAGCCGCAGACTACAAAAGCCACAGATCAGATGCATCCTCACGTGAGCCCGCCTGAGAGGAGAAAGGGAAGGCAAGAATGTCCGGCTAAGTCTGGGGATGGCCGCTGCGCCGTCCACCCTCGGGGCAACAGAGGGGCGGACCTAGAATGGCAAAACCCACTCGTGGTGGCCGCGGGAGAGATCAGGCGCGTGGAGGAAAAAGAGAACGGAACGGCCCAGGCAGGGAGGAGGCCGCCGGGGAAGGGGGCAGGTGGCTTCGTCCCAGGCCTGACCAGCTGCTCTCAGGGCCAGAGTGTGGAGGGGAGGTCGGCTGGTTCCAGCCCCGGAAGGGAAGCCGTGTCCCCAGCGTCTCAGTGCACGCTCCGGGAGAACAAGTGGCAGAAAGAGCTGGAGTTGGCCTTTGAAGAGCTGTTCAGTATCAACAGACAGCTGAAAGAACACCTGCGCTGGTACCTGGCCCTGACGCCCGGGATGGACCAGAGCCCTGGGGCACAGCATGGCTTCTCAGAGACGCAAGAATGGGGCGGGAGGGTCCCGAGAGAGAAGATGGCACACACAGAGACGATGCCCGCCAGGGAATGCAGGAGCCTGGCAGAGGAGGAGGAGCGGCAGGCGGTGTCCAAGACCCACTTGAACACATTAACGGGCAAGGTCCGGAACCAAAAATGTCACCGCACAGTCAAGCCCACGTTTAGAAATGGAAGTCAAACGTCTCCCAAGGCAGAGATATGTGTCCACAAAGTGGACTCATTCTTGTACAGCACTGAATCTGGGCAAGAGACCCCCAAACTGGGCACGCTGGCAGAGGGCCCCCTTCAGCTCCACCTTGAAGACCAGGCACACAGAGTAGGCTCTCAGAAAGCAGAGACGGAGCAGAGGAGACAGAAACAGCTGGAATCGCTCGAACGAACGGAACACCCAGATAGGAGCTTGGAAATCCACGAGGCTGAGTTAGAAAAAGAGAGGAGAGAGCAAAGAGGAGCTGGACCGGCCCGTCTGAGGTCCCCGTCTGCGACAGCCCAGGAAAGGGAGAGCCAGTCTGAGCTCAGCACCACTTCCCTGTCGGGCACCAGCCTCACCGACGACCAGCACAGTCAGATGATCCGAGACCGGCAGCAGCAGATTTTAGAGCAAAGCAAGTTGCACAAGCAGTTTCTTGCAGAAGCCAGGAAACGCTTGCGGGAGTTTCAGAACATATGTTAAACGCGAGAGTCCCACCCGGGGAAAATACATCACTGCTAATGGAGATGCCAGAACTGGTACCCGGGTCTCTAAGATCTGTGTTTGCGTCATCGCCTTCGAGACTATTAGGCCTCTATAAAACGGGCAATCTGGGGCTGGGCGTGGTGGCTCACACCTGTAATCCAGCACTTTGGGAGGCCGAGGAGGGCGGAACCCTGAGGTCAGTCAGGAGTTCGAGACCAACCTGGCCAATATGGCGAAACCCCGTGTCTATAAAAGTATAAAAATTCGCCAGGTGTGGTGGCATGTGCCTGTAATCCCAGCTACTCAGGAGGCCGAGGCAGGAGAAGCACTTGAACCCAGGAGGCGGAGGTTGCAGTGAGCTGAGACTGCACCACTGCACTCCAGCCTGGGTGACAGAGTGAGACTCGACTCCATCTCAAAGAAAAAAAAAAAAAAAAAAAAATGGCATTCTGTCATTATACCATCCTCCAGGGCAAATTCCCTCACAGGGACTCCTTCCTTAGTCTTAACGTTTAAAATGAAGTCCCATTTGAGAAACCTCCTATACACAAAAATAGGAACCCGTGTGGGTTCCAGTGGGGGGCTCTAGCCCATGTACTGGGGGTGCGTCTCCCAGAGCTGATCATGCCACTGCACTCCAGCCTGGGTGACAGAGGGAAACTCCAGGTCAATTATGCCCTTCAGATGTTTTAGCCAAATAAACACGGGTCTTTCAGGGGCACCCAAAGTCAGACGGGCACAATTCCAGAAGATAGATCACTTACTTGGTGCTTAGCCATGGGCTGAGATATTAACAGAGATTGAACCAAAGCTAAAACCTCTCTTAGTCTTTCAGAGCAAGAAACCCAACATCGTTTAAATAGCACGTTGCTCAATACATTCTTCTAACTCTAACTTGAGAGGAAATAGAGAAAGGCAGAAAGAGAAGACAGGCCACCCTCGCCCCGCTGGTGGCTCCCCTGGGGCTGGCAAGGGCGTGGGCACCTGGGTTTTTGATCCGTTTCCTCCCTGCTAGCTTTGCCACTGACCTGGCGTCCACCACAGCCACGGACACCTCACACTGGGTAGCTTCTCTTCTGCCAGTTGCAGGCTTAGGGACAGGGATCAACGTACTTTTTCTGCAAAGAGCCAGAGAGTAACTATGTGAGCGTTTGTCAGCTGTGTGCAGCCCTTGGCGCAGTTACCCAGCTCTATGGCAGCTGCTCAGAAGCAGCCGCAGATGATACATGAATGAAAGGGCGTGGCTGGCCTCCAGGGAGACTCGGCAAAAGTCGGTGGTGGACGCCATCTGCCCCTGGACTGGGGTGGTTTCAGAGTCTGTCTCCCTCCCTCCCTTCCAGAAACCTCAGATATATTGACTTAGATCACCCAATCTTTGTTCGTGACAGATTGGTCTCATTGGTCCACGAATGGCATTACTTACCTTAAGCATACTTTATAGACAATATAGTGAACTACTGTGAGCCCCTCACCTCGACCCAAGACCCAGAATATTCACCACCTGTGTCCCACTTCCCTTTTCCATCCCCCGCTGCCTCTGTGAATATATACCTGCTGATGGCTCCCACCTGTCACCCCAACATTTTGGGAAGCCAACGCAGGAGGATTGCTTGAGCCCAGGAATTTGAGACCAGCATGGGCAACACTGGGAGCCCCTAGCTCTACAAAAGACTAAATAATTAGCTGAGCATGGTGGGACCTGTAGTCCCAGCTACTGGTGAGGCTGAATCAAGAGGGTCGCTTGAGCCTCAGAGGTTAAAGCTGCAGGGAGCTATGATCATGCCGCTGCCAGTCTGGGTGACAGAGACCCTGTCTCAGAAACAAAAAGATGCCGGGCGCGGTGGCTCACACCTGTAATCACAGCACTTTGGGAGGCCGAGGCGGGTGGATCACCTGAGGTCAGGAGTTTGAGAACAGTCTGGCCAACGTGGTGAAACCCTGTCTGTACTAAAAATACAAAAAATTAGCTGGGTTTGGTGGTGGGCGCCGGTAATCCCAGCTACTCGGGAGGCTGAGGCAGGAGAACCCAGGAGGCGGAGGTTGCAGTTACCTGAGATCGCACCATTGCACTCCAACCTGGGCAACAGAGCAAGACTCTATCTCAAAAACGGAAAAAAAAAAAAAAAGAGAGAGAGAGATACCTGCTGAACTTGGGGTTTAGCCCTCTCTTTATCCATATATGTGTGCTAAAGGTGTAGTGTTGAGTTTTACTTGTTGCTGAACTTTATAAAATGATATTATTTGGGGTCTTTGGGAAAACCCCAAGTTTTTGGGCCTTGGCGTAGTCGCTGGCATGTGCCCACATCACACAGACGCGTGTCGTACTCATCCTCACTGCTGTATCTTCTCATCGTGTATGCGAGCCTTCCTTCCAGGATCAGAGCTTCTCCTGTTCCCTGCTTATTTCCGACAAGAAGACTATATCCCCGACGCATTAGGATCAGAAGACCAGGCATCAAAAAGTGCTTTTGGCACAGCTGGGTTGTAGATGTGGGAGAGATCCCATTTATTACTTTTTTTTTTTCCTTCTATTTTTACCTTTTTCCCCAGAAGAGATTGACCTGCTCTTATAAAATATTTAACTTGCAAATATGAGGCCAGACATGTTGGCTCACACCTGTAATCCCAGCACTTTGGGAAGCCAAAGCAGGCAGATTGCTTGAGCCTAGGAGTTTGAGACCAGCCTGGGCAACATAGTGATACTGTGTCTCTATAAAAAATACAAAAAGTAGCCGGGCATACTGGTCTGCACCTATAGTTCCAGCTACCAGGGAAACTGAGATGGGAGGATCACTTGAGCCTGGGCTGTTGAGGCTGCAGTGAGCTGCGATTGTACCATTGGACTCCAGCCTGAGTGACAGAGTGAGAAACTATTTCGGAAAAAAAAAAAGGAAGAAAACTTTGATCTCAGCCTGGTTCTTTCTGTCCTCTGCTTCCAGAATGACATGGTTGCAAAGCCACTCCACAATTTGCTGTAGGCCCAACATGATGAAGAAGGAACCTGAGGGTCAGGAGGGCTGCTGGTTTTCAAAAGCCACGTAGATTCCTCGGGGCAGGGTGTCACCGTGCTGCTGCTGTTTCTGTACGTGCCTTGTGCCTGGCTGTTTTTAGCACACGGAGACCTGGAGCGTAGCCGCCTGTCACTGTGGCATGGGCTCCGTCGGAGAGGGCAGGGAGGATGTTGTGGGGGGACTGAGTTAAAAGCCATGGCCGCGATGGGGCCTGAACACTGAGTGGCCAAGGTCTCCCTGCCTTAGCCTGGAAGCCAGTCCCCTGGGGACCAGCCTGCCTTTGACTGGGTTATTTTTGTGGCCATTTTCAAAGGTAGTATTTGTGGCCCATGTGTTGTAGGTAAGGAATTGCCCCTTTTGGCCTCACTTGAGCTAAAACTAGGTGTGGAGTCGGACAGCGAGACAGGGTGGAGGGTGACTCATCTCTGCCAGGACAGTCACACCTACACTGTCCCCTGGCAGCCAGACCAGACACCCGGCCCTTTCCCACCTGTCCTGCAGAAGGCGAAGGGGATGACAGGCTGGTTCTTTGCCTGGGGTATCGATGTGGGCACTAAAACAGCCCTCCGGGATGCCCACACCCGAAACCGTGGCTCCCCAGGGATTCTTACGGAGATGTCATGGGGAACTTTCCATCCCCGGGTCTGGCAGCGCCTGCGTTCCCCTCCCTCCTTGGTCACCTAGGCACAGCTGGACTGTGGTGGAAAGGCCCGTGGGGCAGCCTCCAGCCTTCCCTGGCTCACCGCATCCCATGCCCTCACCCAGAGACTCCACCAGGAGCCGGTGAGAGCCCTGTTGCTGGGGTTGGAGCCCTGGCTCTATCACCTGCCAACAGCTTGGTGACGAGCGCACAGTGTTAAGGTTTCTGCACTTCGTCCGAGGCCTGGCCCTCCGCCTCCTGCACCTCACGCCCACGTCCCACCGCCCCTATTCCAGACACAAGTGCGCAGGGCCCACCCCCTACCTTGCGAGCCTGAATCTTCCCCGAAGTGCCAGGGACCTCACAGGGCAATGCTGGCGGGCTCAGGGGTGCCCTCTGGACTCACACCCCAGCCCTTGCCCAGCCTCCGTTTGACTGTAAAATGGATAATGGAGCCACTTGAAAGGGTGTGGGGTTCCCAAGCTTTCCAGAGAGCACTGCCATGCCCACGGGGTGAGGACCCCGGATGTGGTGGCCACATTCACCTGCATCCTTCTACAGCACCCGCAGGTGCCCCGACGGCTCCCCCTCTCTGAGGCTTTGGGACTTCTGCCCCCGCCCTCGGGGCCAGCCTACGTGTTCCCGCCTCACTCTGCATTCGCGGGAACCCTCATCCTTCTGCCCAAACCACAGGGGCCCAGGAAGGCCGCGGTGGCTGAGCAGTGGTGTGTGGGTCGCCCTGTGTGTCCGTGAGGCTTGGCGGGAAGCAGTAGTGTCGCTTGTGTGTGCTGCCCAGGTCAGCTGTCCCTGGGCGGGGGGAGGCCGGCAGGGTCTGGCAGGGCCTGCTCTCCCCCGACCTGCTGGCCAGTCGGGGTGTGGATGTGACCCCATGCTGGGAGCTGCCCTGGGGGGGTCCGTCTTTTCCTCACAAATTTCCCTTCCCGGCCAAGCCCTGTGTGACCAGGATCCCAGACACATGCAACAAAAGGAAACTAGGGTTTTTAGAGGGGACGGGTGGGCAGGGCAGCCTTCCTGACCTGCAGGGATTCTTCCGGTGAATTTTACTGAGCCCTCCAAGAAGACACGGGACGGGGGCGGGGAAGGGAGTGTGGGCCCCGGGATTACAGCCTTTATGTCCCTGCTTGTCTCCTGAGAAATGCAGCAAGCCAGGGGTCAGCCCACAGGCCACATGCCTCAGGTCACCCCCAAGCCAGGGCCCAAAGACGACGGGCCCAGCCCTCATGTTTGCCCCCAAAGTGGGTTGACCTGGGAGGAACAGTGCCCTGCCCACCACGCAGCCCCCCAGCGACAGTGCCCCCCAGCGACTGTGCGAGGAGAGAATCCGC